GCGCACCCTGTCGTTCATCAAAAACCATCAGTTTTCAAGAAACCGCTGGAACGAAATGCACACGCGGGCGTCGTCACGCGCGCATGCCGTAATCCTCGAAAAAACCTTCGGTGGCCTAAAGAGATCAAACATCGATTAGCAAGAAAACATATAAAACACATGGTTTCCCAACACAAATATTCTGAACAACTTGCGCCCGCGCTCTTCCGAATGTATCGGAAAACCATACATGGTTTTAAACATGTTCAAAACATGTTTCCAAACTGGCCTCTCGCACGCGCGTCGAAATCGTTCGTGCGCCCTTGAGCGCGTGCTGTCGCAAGAACATGTTGCAACAAAATGGACGAAAACCACACGCGCGCGTCGCCGCGCGCGCATGCCAAAATCCCAGCCAAAAATACGGAATGACCTCCAAACTGGGTGCCCCGAAAAAGTTTGTTTTGCTATATATTATATATATACGTATTTATATATAATAATAATGCTAATAATAATACGAATAATAATAATAACAATAATAATAATAACAATAACAATAATAATAATAACCAAAAAATGCGCTCGCGTTCACGAGTATCCAAAAAACAGCCATCGGTTCGCCAACATGTTCATCCACTTGTGCCAAACGGGACTCTCGCGCCGCATGTCGAGTTCGTTCGAACGCCCTTGCGCGCGCGGGGGGGGGGGGGGGGCGCGACCCGTGCCAAAGAACAGCACGCGGGCCACTCGCGCGCGTCGGCCGCCCGCACATGCCGAACTCCTTCGGAAACCTTCACCACCGACGCGGGGACATCGTTATCGTTGTCGGCGGGCGTGATCAACATCGGCGCCGTCGTTGGCCTTGCCGTCGTCACCGCCACCTTCGTCACCATCGCTACTCTCGTACTCGTGTCCACAGTTGTGGGCGTTGCCATGATACCGCGCCCGCCCAAGCCACCGACTCGCACTGAAGTGCCCGCTGGGAAACGCCCAACGGCCAGCACCACCGCGGCCGCGTCCGTCGCGCCAATCTATATGACCGCTGTGCGCGCGAGCATGCCCAGGCTAGCGCGGCCGTTGAATCCCACCAGCCCTCTGGGCGTCGGTGGTTTAACGAGTTTCCTCTTCCACCCCTCCCTCTTCCCCTTCGGGGAAGGGTTTACCCCTCCCCCTACCCCCTCCCCACTGACCTGGACAGGAGGGGCGGGGAGCGGTCAGAGCGTCCAAAACGGCCTCGGCGAGGAAGCCAAAAACATTGATGTTACTATGGTTTTGGCCCCATTTTGGCCTTTTCAGGGGGCAACGCTAATTAAGGCTCCCCTCTTCTTTGATCGATTTCCTCCACGATGGCCGCAAGAGGCCCCCAGGATGCCCCAATTGGCCGCAGGATGGCCCCAAGATGGCCCCAAGAGGCCCCCCAAGAGGCCCCCAGGAGGCCCCCAAGAGACCCCCCAAAGGCTTCAAGATGGCCCCAAGAGGCCCCAAGAGGCCCCCAGGAGGCCCCAAAGAGGATCCCGAACGGCCCACAGAGGCCCCCCCGAGGCACCCAAGACGCCGAAAAGCCCCTCAGGACGACCCTCTACTCGCCTGGGCGTCGTTTCTGGACGGGCTGGTGGGGATACGCGAAGCGTCTAGAATTTCACCAGCCAACGCCAAGCACTCATCGCAATCGCAGTCGCACGGGATTGGCAAGCATGTGCCAACTCGTTTGTACTAACAAATTGTCCGCTGTAAAAGGAGAATAGACTCTACCCCCCCCCAGCGGTATCGCCCCCCCTTTCGGGTATGTAGATCATATACGATTCTGACCACCGGTCCATCCTGAATATGAAATTACAATGTCCCAGGCCAACTGGTATCCCCCCCTGAGGTTCCCTTGTGAAAAACACTATGCGGTGACATTTGTACACAAGACTGGTTCGCGAATCCCTTGCAACAAACAGGACGAAGTGCACACGCGCGCGTCGTCGCGCGCGCATGTCAAAATCCTTCAAAACCTTCGGTGTCGGAAGAATTTGGCAATCGAGCTCCCAAAAAGCAAACAAAAACACAAGGTTTCGCAACACTGATTTGCTAAAAAAGCTTACGGCGAGCTCTTGCGAAATCTTAAGAAAACTTCAGGTTTTCCAGATTCCCACAAAATGATACCAAACGGGCTTCGCGCGCGCTCATGTCGAAATTTGTCGAACGCCCTTGCGCGTGTGTCGTCGCGAGAATCCTCTGCAAAAAAATGACGAAGTGCAGACGCGCGCGTCGTCGATCGCGTACGCCGAAATCCTTCAAAACCTATCGCTTCCGGAAGGATTTCAAATTCGTGCGTCGAAAAACCTTTTAAAAAAATCACAAGGTTTCGCAACACAGATGTTCAACAAAAGCGTGCGCGCGCGCTCTTGCGTCGTCGTCGTCGTCGCCGTCCTCCCTCCTCCCGCGTCGTCGTCGTCGTCATCGCCTACGGCGTCCTCTGTCTTTGCTCGTGTTCGTCGTGGTCGTCCTCTTCGGCGTCGTGGTCGTTTCCGTCGTCGCTGTCGCCGTGGTCGTCCTTCCTCCTCCTCCCTCGTCGTCGTCGTCCGTCGTCGGCGTCTCGTCGTCGTCCCTCCTATTTCGTCGCCGTCGTCGTCGTCGTCGTTGTCGTCGTCTTCGTCTTCCCTCCTCCCTCGTCGTTGTCGTCGTCGGCGTCGCCGTCATTCCTCCTTCTTCGTCGTTCGCGTCGTCGCCGTCCTCCCTCCTCCCTCGTCGTTGTCGTCGTTGTCGTCGTTGTCGCCGTCGTCGTCATCCCTCCTCCCTCGTCGTCGTCTTCGCTGGCAACGTCGTCGTCGTCTTCGTTGTCGTCGTCGGCGTCGGCGTCGTCGTCGTCTTCGTCGTCGTCGACGTCGGCGTTGTCGTCGTCGCCGTCGTCGTCGTCGTCGGCGTCGGTGTCGTTGCCAAGTGCCATTTGGTACCTACCGTCACGGTCTCAAGAGGTTTTGCAAACCAAGTTGCGGGTGGGTGGGTGGGATGTTTGCAAGAGCATGGGATGTGTCAAATCATGTGTAAAAATCAATTCCACCACATAGATTGCAGCACATGGATGGCACCACATAGGCTGTTTCACAAACATTGTGCGCACACTTGTTCATCAACAGTCGCACGTTTGAAAAACCCAAAGCGAAACATCCATGGCAAAAATACGGCAGGGTCCACACGCGCGGGTCATCGCGCGCGCATTTCGAAATGCCTGCCCTGAAAAAATGAGGTTTCGAATGAATTTCAACATCGACTTCCCCGAAACGTCTAAGGAAAAACAACACAACAAAACACCAATGGTTGTGCAGCATGGTCTTTGGAAAACATGTGCATGCACGCTGTTGTGAATTCTTGCGAAAATTAGCGGTTTTCCACATTCGCACCAAATGAGACCACACGGGCCTCTCGCGCGCGCATGTCTTTTGGGTGTTGGCTGGGGGGGGGCAGTGTCCCCGTCAAATAACACCACGAAAGCCACTCGCGCATGTCGAAATCAAATCTTCCCCAAACCACCATCATCATCATCGGCGTGATCAACATCGGCGCCGTCATAGGTTTTGCCGTCGCCATTGTCATTATCGTCACGAGCATCGCTACATCATCGTATTTGCTGGTGTCGGCATCGCCATGATACCCTGACTCGCGCTGAAGTGCCCACGCATCAGCGCGGACTGCGAGACGAGCTGGGGCGTCCACAGCGGTCACCGCCACCGCGGCCGCATCGGTCACGCCGAAGTAGCTGGCCACTCTGCGCGCGAGCCTGCGCGCGCTAGCGCGGCCGCAGCGATGCGCCAGCCAGCGCCAAGCTGTCATCGCAATCGCCGCTACATGGATTTTGCAAACCAAATTGCGGGTGGGTGGGTGGGATGATTGCGCCAGCAGTGGAGCGGAAAGCTCGCGGCGTTTGCACAACATCGATGGCACAACACCGATCGCACCACATAAATTGCACAACATGGATTGAACCACGTAGATTGTCCTACATCTTTTGGGACACACAGTTTGGGGCCCACGCTGGCTAACATGACCAGCATGGTGAATAGCATTTCGAAGTTGACTTGTACTATGGGCATTCCTCCTCCGTCTCCGCCTCCGCCTCCTCCTCCTCTTCCTGCTCCTCCTCCCCCCCTCCCCCTCCCCGTCCCTCCTCATCATCCTCCATCCATTTTGCTTGTAAATAATTCACCCGTGTCGCACCCCAAGACGTGTTGGTAGGGCGGGCCTGGCATTTCGCTTCAGAATTTCTCGCCACCTACGGTTCTTAAGGTCAAACTTTGCAAGAGTTTCATGGATGGAAGGCGGGTCTTCAAAACGTGGAAGTCGCTCTCGCGCCGCGCATACTCGTCGTAGACATTCTAAGAGCTTTGTGGGTGGAGGGCGGGCCAGCTTCAAAATGTGGCCTTCGCTATGGCGATGCGCACGCTCGTCCAAAAACATGCAGAATCTTCATAGATGGAGGACGGCTCCTATTCAAAATGTGACTTCCGCCTTGGCGCCGTGCACACTCGCTGTCAATAGAACTGCAAGGGTCTCGCGCATGGAAGGTAGTGTTTATCGCTTTAGCGTCGCGACCATTCGCTCTAAGGGCCAACATAACTTTCAATGATTATTGTGGCTGACGTCCCAGATGCAAGGAATGTTGTTGGAATACTATTCAAGCGTTACTATGTTTTGGCAAAGCGTAGGACTGCCACGGCGTCACAGCCATGTTGATTCGCGGTGCTGAAGTCCCAGGAATGGCGTTCTGGCACGATTCAGGGCTGTCAGGACGCAGCAAAAACGTTGATTCGCGGCGTTGGTGTATCCACAATGGTGTTCTGGCACGGTTCAAGATGTTTAAACAAGTGTCTTCCAACGGGACATTTCCCACAGTGAAAACAAATCCTTGCATGGCACTATTGAGAGGGATCTTGGGGGGATGGTTTACTGAAACATCGTGGACGAATACTTGGCTTGCACTGGTCCTCCTCTCCTGCCGCACAGACACAAAAGGAAGGGTGCGCGCGGCGACGCGGCGCCTCCCCGCTCTCGCAGCTCTGGCCCCCGCAGCGGCAGGCGACGTTAGCCACGCCACCGTTGGCGCAGACAGCCGCCTGCCAACAGTCGCTCGGCGCCCAGCTGAGGGGGAATCAATTGGAAAGAGCAAGTTCTGTAGGCGCTTGGAAGAAAGGGGGGCGGAACTGGCCCCTCGCCCGCACGGCGCCGGCGGCGGCGGCGGCCGGCGGCGGAGGCGGCGGTGAGAGGCGACAAGGACGACGACGACGACGATCACGAGAACGACGACGACGACGGCGACGACGACGACGACGGCCACGACGACGACGGCGACGACGACGACGACGACAACGATAGCGGCGACGACGACGGCAACCACGACGGCGACGACGAGCACGACGACCACGACGGCAACCACGACGGCGACGACGGCGACGACGACGGCGACGAAGGCCACGACGGCGACGACGGCGACGACGACGACGGCGACGACGACGACGGCGACGCCGGCGACGACGGCGACGATGACGGCGACGAATACGACGACGGCGACGACAACGGCGGCGACGGCGACGACGAAGACGACGACGGCGGCGACGACGACGACGATGACGACGACGGCGACGACGGCGACGACGACGACTGTGACGGCGGCGGCGACCACGACGACGACGACGACGACAACGGCGACGGCGACGACAACAACATCGAAGACGACGACGACGACAACGACGGCGACGGCGACGACGGCCTCCTCCTCCTCCTCGTCCTCCTCCTCCTCCACCCCCTCCTCCCCTTCCTCGTCCTCCTCCTCCTCCTTTTGTTCCTTCCCTCTTCTCCATCCTCAACATCCTCCATCCATCCCTCCCTCCCTCCCTCATGCCTCCCCCCTTCAGACGCAATCTGGCCGCCTGCGCAGAGCAGGTGCTGGTCTGCGGGTCACAGAACTCCCCGGCGGCGCACTTGCTGGTGCCACAAGAGCAGGTGGCCTCTGCCGCCCATTCCCTCATGCCCATGCATCCTTCCCCCCCCGTACTGATCATCCTTTGGCCGATCCTCTTCCTGATTCGTCTTCCTCGCCAGCTTCCACAATGATTACCGTTATCCTGCTCATCCGTGTCCTCCTTATAGTTATCGTCCTCCTCCTCCTGCTCGTCGTCCTCCTCCTCATCTTCTGTTGGTTGTGACCACTCGACATAAGACAGAATAGTTTTATAAGTGGCATTCGTACCAGTAATATGTGGATGATACCATTATTAAACGGATTGTTACTATTATGTGTGTGCTTCGTACTTGCCTTTTAAAGCACTACTAAGATCATTCGCACAGTTATGATTAATCGTCTGCTTCGTGCATAATGATACTATGAGTTGTATTATTATTACTCTGAAAAGTATGATTACGATTGGTAGCGTTGGCATGTTCACGCGTACTACTGTTATAAAAGACTATCCTTATTATTACCGATAATAGTATTATCCTTGTTATTCGTATTACTAGTATCATTCGTCTTACTCGAACTAACAGTCGTTTTGCTTATCTTCTCAGATTACTATTCGTGGTACTCCGTTTTGTGTCGTATTATTCGTATTCGTCTTTTTCGTCTTAGTATTATCCGTATGCTCATTCCTATCATTTTTCTTGTTGTGCGTGTATGTATGCCCTAATGGTCGTGCTCGGTGCCGCGCGGAATCCCAGTGATGCGCTGTGCCTTGCTAAGGGTGCGGTGCGATTATGTGGGGAAGTGAAAGGTACCTGTCCCGTTTAACCCCTAAGAAGGGGGTAGAGAATTGCCGCGCGTGCGAGGGTGAAGACGGGAGCTGAGGTGGGCCTCAAATTTGGCTCGAGCCCGATTTCAGGAAAGGAAAGAATCCTTACCAAGGGCCTGATTCGCCCATGGTAGCGGAGCCCGCGGTCTAGTCCACGGGGTCCTGGAGCGCCGCGATTGTCGGACGAAGCTCAGTTTCGAGATCTCCGCGAAGATCGATTTCCAGAGCCCCTTGACGTTTGAGTTCGGAATTCGATTTTGAAGACGAGTTTGTATATAATGTCACGCAATTGTGGGTGATCAAGGCGAGCCGCTGCAATTTGTTGACACCGAATTGCTGGGGAAGCCGAAGGCTTATTCAGGTAATCGTACGGACTGGCTTCAGTGGAGGTTTATTTTCAAGGTGTCAACCGGCGCGTTGGATGGCGAGCTGTCGGAGAGTCTGGAGCAGGCAGAGCGTCGGGTCAATCCGATTCCAGCGCAGACACTCAATGAAGTTCGCCTTGGGCATAGCAGGACGTTGGCTTTCATGTTATTGCGGGTTTTCATGGGCACTTCGCTTCAGCTGGCGATGAATGTTCCGGGTTATCACGGCTTGGAGACGTGGCGTTTGCTCGTTCGTCAAGAGGCATCGTCGACAGGGGCCGCTCAAGTCAAACAGCACATGGGTACTTTTAACACGAGATTCGATGGCGGTCCCACGAAGATCGCAGAACACTTGCAGATCTTAGAGAGTAGGCCCCCAGACGCACGAGAAGCAGCATAACGAGAGGCTTCCGGACACGCTCAGGCAGGCAGCTTGGCAGCAGAACGCACCATCAAGTATCGAGACTCAGGTGGATATGCAGTCGTTCGTTTCAGCAGATTCGCTCAAGGAGACTACGTCGAATTACGTGCAGTTGCAGATGGGCGCGCCAGAAGCGAGCTCAGGGCCAGCACCCATGGACATCGGCAACGTTCACAAAAGCAGAGACCATAAAGGAAAGGGCGCGAGCAAAGGTACTGACCTCAAGAGCAAGGGCATTAACGACGCTAAAAGGAAGAACATACAAAGAAAGGAAGGCGGCAAGGGCAAGGCTCACATCGGAAAAGGATATCAAGATGCAACTTGCCACCGCCGTGGGCAGCGAGGACACTATGCACGCGACTGCAGGCAGGCCCCAGGAGGACAACAAGGCGCAGTGCAGGGCAATTCCCAGACGCCAGCACAGTTTCAATCAGGTGATATTCGACGACTATCGTGGCCATTGGAGGCTTTGGCGAGGGCCCGTTGTTTGACAGTGGGGCGCGTGTGCACGTGGCGCCCACGGAGTATGCTAAGCACGTGGTGATGACCAGCGTGATCAAGGAGCCAGAACTGTTTCCAGCTACTGGTAAGAAGATTCGACTGCACGGGCAACGACTGGCCCCGTTCAGGGTCACGAACGCGCGCGGGAAGGTGCTGAAGGTGGTGGTTCCATTTGCGATCGCGGATGTTCGGGGGCCCCCGATGTTGGTTGGAGAGCTCACGGACAGAGACCAATGGTTCAGTTTGGAGCTCTCGGATATATGTCTAACGATGGGTTGGCTGTTCAGTTAACCAGAAGGGTGCGGATACTACATTCCTGGATCGGACAGGTCCGAGGTTTTCAAGGATCTGAAGTAGGTCGGGACGGTTGCTAGTCATCTTGCTTCGATGCCGAATCCGTCGGGAAGTCCTACGGGAGGTATCATTGAGAGCGGAGAAGAAGTTCAAGTACCAATGCAAGCGGCGGAAGCAGTTGCGATGAGAGCCCCAGTCCTTCCAAGCGTCGAGGATGAAGAGAGACACAACCTTACCCATGTTCCGTACGCGCCATGGTGTGACATTGCGTCATTGGTCGGGGCCAAGAGGAAGCTCACCGAAGACGTTAAGGAGAAGCTGTCTCACCGAATCCAGTTCTTGGCATGGACTACTGCTTTTTGGCTTTGGAGGATAGCGACGCGGAGCAGCTACAATCTTGGTGACTCGAGACAGCGTTTCATCATGCACGGGCGCGGCTCAGGTGCCAGCGAGGGGCCCTACTCCATACGCAGTGGCGTTTCTTAACAGCTGCTTGGGCGAGGGGGTGCCCTAGAGTTTTTTTACCATTCAGAACGTCGGCGAGCCATATATTATTGCACTCGGGAAGGCGTTGGTCAAGGAGCGAAACAAGCAGGCCAAGGACGCTCTTGCTCAGATTTCATTGCGATAATCGGCGCCAGGTTCACATGCCAGCAATGGTTTAGCGGAGGCACCAGTCAAGGTTATCGAGGGACTGGTGAGGACAGTGACACATGCAGTTCAGGGTCCTCTCGAGGCGACCGGGTAATCTCTCGGGCCATCTTGGGCGGACTGGGAGGCCCAGGGGCCGCCGGAGGAGCGCCCCGGGAGGCCCTCCTGGGCTGTCTTGGGGCTGTCTCAGCCGCCCTGGGGCGCCCTCGGGCGCCTCTTGGGGCTTTTCGACCGCTCCGATGTCCAAGGGAGCTGGTCTCCTAAGAATGTGCGTTTTACGAACGGAATGGGGCCATTTTGGTCTCCCAGGGCGCTCTTGGGGGGCCTCTTGGCGGCCTCCTGGGGGGGCTCGAGGGCCTCTTGGCTCTTCTGGAAACGATCTTTGACGGACTCGGAGCGACCCTGGGCTTCTCTCGGCGCCGTTGGAGCCCGGGCGCGCTGGAACGCGCGGGGGCTGCTGGAGGGGCGTCCCGGGAGGGGGCCACTACCTGCGTGCAAGGGGGGTTCTGGCCCGGGGCCTGGGGCCCGGGAACTCCCATATATGCATATGCATATGCCGCTGACCCCGGCGAAATACGCGGGCCTGGGCCGCCGTCGCCATTGCCGCCAGAAATCGCGCGAAACTCAACCCATCCCGTCCAAGGTCATCGCAATACCCTCTCGCCTTCAACAACTCACTCTTCCACTCATCGGTCACGCCCCATCTCGCCAGCTTCCCGATAGATTGCGCGCGCTCGTCTCATTGCAAGATCGCCTGGGGCTCTAACCCTTTTGCCTCTAGACATGCGCACGTCTGCCATGGGTTCGCGGCGCCGTCATATGCCTAAGCCCAGTTGACCAGTAATGGCCCCTTCAAATCCTTGGTTTGCCTGGGGCAGTGGGGGCCGCCCTCGCCTGACCTGATGCTAACCTCTCTTGGATGTTCTGCTCGCCTCGTCAATGAGCCACTTGCCAAGGCGTTCGCCGCACTCCGCGCTGCGCGCATAAGTGGTGGCCCCTATCGCAGCGTGCCCGCAACGCTCCAGCGTGGGCCGCATGGCCGAGCACTCTGTCTCCCTCGCAGCAGTTCCTCGAGCTGCAAGCGGCCCGGCGCCAACGCCCGCGCCTCGATTGAGCGCTGCCGCCCGCGGTGCCACCCTGGCTTCAACGCCCATCCCAAACGCGTTGGGACCAGGTTGCCAGGATAACCACATTGATAAGGTCATACGAATGCACTGCATTCCGATGACTTCCTGCAAGTCTGAACATTCGAGACCGGATGGCGCCCGCGGGAGCGCCAGCGACGAACTCTCGGCTTGCCCCACGCACCCCCAGGAAGACGCATAAATACATCACACACACCCCATCTTGCTCCGAGGTCGTTGCCCCCAAGAGAGATGCACGCGGTATAACCGAATCATGGGGGCGCAATCAACCCCGGACACAAACTGTGAATTTGTCGTGCCAAGCTCTCCGCAACATCCGAACGCGGCCCCTCACTGTTCCGATTGCCCCCCCAGCTTCGCCACGCGCGGGGTGCCCCCGACAAAACTTACTTCCCAACCCGCGCCGAGGTCGCTCGACGCAAGAAGTGAACGGCCCCCCTGAGCGCCGCGGTGGAAGACCCCCATTACTGTTTGAGGATCGCTCTTTTACGCCCGGCGAAGAGAATCACACCGCAAAACACTTCGAACCTGGGCCAGCGCTCTCCTCTTCCGAACGCGCTCGGCGCCCCCGCAGCGCGCGGCGACGATCGGGCCCCCCGCCCTGTTCCTCGCCGCCTCCGCTTCCCCCGCCGAGCCGCGCGCGGCCAGCGGGGGTCCGGGGTGCACCTCGCCCTGGCGCCCGCGACCGCTTTCGCCGCGACCCCCCCCCCCCCCTCGCCCACCAGCTGCCGCGGCGGGAGGGGGGCGCCGACTTCGGCGGGAAGCGCGGGTTCCATCGCGCAACTTGACGCCCGCAATGTTTCGCGCGGGGCCGTGCGAAATCCATTGGGTCCGCGGCCCCCTCCTCCTCCGCGTCGCTTGACTCGCTACCTCCGCCCTCGCCCCCTCGATCGCCCTTCATATTCACGGTGGGTGGATTTCGACTGGGGCGCGCGAGCTCAGTCGGGCGCAATGGAACAGGTCCGCCACGAGGGCCCCCTGCCCGGGGCAACCCTCGCATCTCTCCTCGCCGACCAGTTCCACCTCCGTCGCCCCCGCTCGACTCGCAGCCCCTCCGGGGGGCCAGGTGGCGAACTGGAAGTCAACGTGTGCCCGGAATATATTTGCCCCAGTTGCCTAGCGCTCGAGAGATCTGCAGGGTCGCCCGCCGCGGCGCCGAGCTAACGCCGCGCGATTCCCCGCTTCGACCGCCTCGCGAGCAGACGCGAATGCTGCTTGGACATCTGCTACCTGAATAAGCATGCTCACCATGGGCCCCATTTCGTTCCCCCCACAATGTCCACTTGCCCATGGTTCCACATGCTTGGCCCATTTGTTGCGCCACAGCGTTGAACGCTCCTGGTGGCATCCGTAGGGTTTGACGGGGAAGCGGGCCCCAATGTTTGGAGGTTCAACGTTGCTGTAGGCTCCTGAATCGAAAATGACAACTATTGTTTCCATGCCGCTATCCTGGCCCCTCCCAGGTACTTCAGTCACTCCCTCGCTGGGTCCTTCCGCCCCCAACAACTGCGTTTCGGTGAAGATCTACATCCAACTCTTCTCCCGTGCGAGGCGCTCCGTAATTCGGCTATCCCAATGTGTACCACGGTCGCAATTAAAGCGGCGCTGATGTGACACACGCTTCCTCATGATCCGTGCCTCATGCCAAGGTCGCAGTTAAAGCGGGCCTGACCTTGCCTCCGTGCTCCTCCTCTCTGCCGCCTGGCACCGCGCCCTCCGCTCCTGCGCCCTTTTTGCCTTTCTTTCTGGCTCCACATTCGTCAATGCATTCGCCCACTTCGACGCTGTAGCATCCCGGCCCTGGTCGAGATTGCCCCGACAGTTGCGCAAGCCCCCCCCGGGCCTGCAGCCCCCCCCCCCCCCCCCTGACCTGGGACAACCTCGCTGGCGTCCCCGGGGCAGCGGGCTGCGATGAGACCCTGTCCGTCGCATGCGAATCCACCCCTCGCTGATCGGCACACAAGTCCCCCTTGACCTCCTCCTTTCCAGCATGGGGCTCGGCTCCCTTGGTAGCTTCCTCGGGGATCCCCATTCGTGGCCTTCCTTGCCGTGGCCCTCCAAGGATGCCCTTTACATCCTGCTGTCCGCACCCCTTGGAATCCCTGGACTCCTATGTGCTATCCTTTTTCTCCTCCTCCACCTGTTGTGGTTCTTCAGCGCAGTCCTCAGCAATGTGCCCATACCTTCCGCGCCTGTAGCACGTGGGTCATTTGTCATCACCTTTTCCTGTTATAACTTCGATCGCGTTGCGGTTGTCGGCCGCATCTTCCAAACTCCAGCACAACCAGTGGCCGACCTCGTCATAGCACCATGCGTCGTCTCAAGTGATGTCCAAATCTCCACCTGTCGTCATCGCTAACCTGGCCAATGTCCATAGTATTGGTGATTCCGTGTCTGCGCATAGCCTTCTCTCACTTGCCGAATCCTCGCACATAACGAAAGGATGTTGGCAGGCGCCAATGTTCAATGATTCTGGCTCAACCAATCAACTGCACGAGTTAAGATTATTTTCAAGGCTCCAACCCTGAACGTCAGTGGCAACGAACATGCAAACAAATATTTGTCCCGAGATCCGGCTAACGCGCTCGCACAGCTACCCCAGTCATTCCCAAATTAGGTATGCCTGTAAAGGGTTCTTGCTTGGTTACAGATTAAACCTCGGGGCCCTAATTCCCCCGTTCCCCAAAAATTCCCCGGGTTCTCCAGATTCCGGGTTCCCCGCCATAGTGCCTCGGGGGGGCTACCCGTTCCCTCGCAGATTCCCTGGGTTCCCTGGGTTCTCCGCTTTCGCTGCCTCCTGTTGTTGCGTTGCCCGTTGCCCAGGAGGTTCCCTGGATTTCCCAGGTTCCTTGGGTTCCCGCCCCGGGCGTCTCATATTTCCCCGATCAGGCTTGCCTAAGGGCTTTTGGCTAGGTGTCTTAATTAGGCGTGCCTAAGGGGCTGTTACTTGGTTCAGGGTGTCTCGGGACCCTACTTTTCCGGTTGCCCAGAGATTCCCCGGATTCCTCGGGTTCCCCGCTCTCGGAGCTTCGGGGGTGCTACTTTGCCCGTTCCCCCGAGAGTCCAGGTTCGTCGGGTTCCTCGGGTTCCCCGCCCCTGGCGCCTTCTATTGTTACGTTGCCTGTTTCCCGGATGTTCCTCGGGTTCCCCAGTTTCCTCGGGTTCCCCGCCCCCGGTGCCCTTTATTGTTCCGTTGCCCGTTCATCAGAGGTTCCTCGGGTTCCTCGGGTTCCCCGCCCTGCTTGTTGGTCTTGATTCCCAGCAGTGCGAGGCAACGCCAGGCAACATCAAGCAACACCAAGCAACACCGAGCAACACCGAGCATATCAAAGCAGCGCAAAGCAATGCCAAGGAATGCCACTCAACGCCAAGCAACGCCAACCAATGCCAAGCAACGCCAAATAATGCCAAGCACCCAAGCAACGCAGAGCAACGGCAAGCAATGCCAAACCGTGCAAAGCAATGCCAAGCAATGCCAAGCAACCCCAAGCAACGCCAAACAATGCCAAGTAATGCAAATTAGCGCCAAGTAGTGCCACGCAAAGCCAAGCGGCGCCGAACAATGCCAAGCGATGCAAATCAATGCCACGCAACGCCACGCAATGCAAACCAATACCAAGCAACGGCAAGAATTGCCAAGCATTGTCAAGCACATCCAATCAAGACCAAGCAAGGCAAATCACTGCTAAGCAACGCAATACACAGCAAAGCAAAAGCAAAGGTAATGCTTCGAAAATCAAAGCAAGGTACAGCAAAACAAAGCAATGCTAAGAAATTCAAAGCAACGCTGTTTAGGAACCGGTCCCCGAAATTGGGGTCGCGTCAGACTCAGTTTCTTCGACGTTTCGGGTTCATTGCCATATTCGTCTTATGCGAAAGTGTAGCCTGGTAGCCGCAAAGTACCAATTTCATGTTTTGGTAAACTACCAAACCGCCTCCTTCATGTAGACCCTAAAGATTCCCCCGTGGCTCTGTTCCCTCTAACTTGTCATTTGACAAATTCCAGAAGTCCTCGTCCAACCTGGCGTAGTCTTCTTCGTCTAACTCATATCACCCTTGTTCATCATCTTCCATTTGATTGATTTCCGACGCCTTGGTGTACTCGCTCAGTGTCAACTTCTCTCGCTCATGACATTGATCAGGTCGTCTTTTTCGTCATCGGGCAATGCCCCATCTATGGTTTCGAAAGTGTAGCTCAAGTTCTCTAGGGTTTCCCGATAACCGTGCTTCACTTGACGACGACGGCGACGAACTTGGAGAGAGAAAGGCGGCGGCAGCGGTCCGTCCGCCTCCCCCCTTCTCGTCCCCTTCCCACCCTCCCCGTTCCCCCCGTCCCCCTTCCCCACCTCACCCCCATCGGCCCCTCCCTTCTCCACCCGCGCCCCAGAAGCCCTCCCCCCCGTCCCCCGTCCCCGCCCTGCTCCCAGAGGCCGCCTGGACAACAGGGCGACTCCTGCACTCTACACCGACCCGCGCCCAGAGCAAAGCCCGACCACGACTGCGCAGGGCCCCTGACCAGCAGAGCAGGCTGCGAGGGATCGGCGCCCCCGACAGCGACAGACACCGGGGCCAGACGTCCGCGAGCCGAAGCACTCGCACCGTCGCGGCGCGTTCCTGCGCCAAAAGGAGAAAACTTCGGCACGAGAATCAACTTCTGGTGGCCCGCGCACCGCAGCGCTTGGGTGCCCCCAACGCCCTCCCTTTGCGAGGGCCCCCCCCGCCCCCCCGAGGGCGCCTCCGCGCGCAGCCCGGCGGAGCACGGCGGCTCCGCGGAGCACCGGCCGCCAGCCTTCTGTTGGGCGGGAGGCGGGCGTTCGAGGGGGGGGCAAAGAGGTGAGAGGAGAGAGGAGGAGGAAGGGAGGAGGAGGGAGGAGGGGAGGACGCTTAAGGGGGCAGGGGCCGGGAAGTAAGAGGAGGGGGGAGGGGGCGGGAGGAGGGAGGAGGGAGAAGGGAGGCCGAGGGAGGGGACGAGGAGGAGGAGGAGGAGGAGGAGGAGGAGGAGGAGAAAGGAGATGAGGAGGAGGCGGGCTTCACTTTGCCAGAATGCTGCACGTGCAGGTACGCTTACAAAAGAAAGGACCGCTGTGGCTACCTCTCTGCGCGCTCAGCGAGAAAAAACACAAAGCGCACAACAAAGAAACATCAACCAGAAACTGCGCACGCACCGAGCAAAACAAGGGCCCCGCGATCTGCTCGCAAACGATCTGTTCGCTAGCGATCTGGCCCCCCCCCTCTCCTCCTCCCACATGTTCCCCCAGCGTCCTCTCCTCCTTCTCATAATTATCAATCCTCTTCCTTCTTCTCATAATCATCAAGATCACGACCACTACCACCATCATCATCACCACCACGGCCACCACCACCCCCTGCTTGGGCTCTGGGGCCTCACCCGTGCAGATCTGGCCCGCGGAGCACGCGCTACCTGGGGCGCGGCAGGGGAACCCCTCCCGCGAGAACCGTCCCCTCTTGTTCCGCCTCCCCTGTTCCTCATCCTCCTCCTCCTCCTCCTCCTACTCGTCCTCCTCCTCCTCCTCCTCCTCCTCCTCATCATGCTCGTCCTCCTCATCAATTCCTCCCTCGCCCTCTCCCTCAGCCCCATTCATTGCCGCTAACAAGCACATGGCGAGACACGAACAACCCTGACAAGGGTCCTAAGTATCACCAACATCATCTACATCTTAATCCATCTAATCAATACCATCGCCATCATCATCAAACATCGAATCACCACCACCACCAGCATCACCTGCAATAGTATAGCCACATCCATCAATGTCTTCATCGTTATCGTCTCTATCACCACCACCACCACCACCACCATCATCATCATCATCACAATCATCACCGCCACCACCACCATTACCACCACCACCACCATCATCAACATCATAAACAGAATCAGCATCATCATCATCATCATCATCATCATCATCATCATCATCATCCTCATCGTCATCGCCATCATCGCCATCATTGCCATCATCATCATCACCATCATAATCACCATCACCATCTCCATCATCACCAGCAACAGCAGCAACATCATCATCAACATCATCATCATCATCACTATCATCATCATCAGCATCATCATCAATATCAGCATCACCATCGTCACATCATCATCGTCACCATCATCATCAAAATCATCATAGTCATCATCATCAACATCATCAGCATCATCTTTATATGCATCTTCATCTTCATCTTCATCTTCATCTTCATCACCAGCAGCACCAACATCATCAGCATCATCATCAACAGCAAGTGTGTCCTCGCCATCGCAATCACAATCGCCACCGCAATCGCCATCGCCGCCACCGTCGTCCATCACACACCACCACAATTATCACAAGCAGCGTCACCACCATCATAACCACCACCGCCAACCTCATGGCTATCATGGTCATCATCATCATCATCATCATCATCATCATCATCATCATCATCATCATCATCATCATCATCATCGACATCATCATCATCATCATCATCATCATCATCATCGTCATCATCATCATCATCATCATCATCATCATCATCATTATCATCATTACCAGCATCATAACCATCATCATCATCATCGTCATCGTCATCATCATCAGCAGCATCATCACCAGCATTATCATCAGCATACAATCATTATCACCCTCATCCTCATCATCATCATCATCCTCATCATCATCCTCATCTTCATCCCCTTGTCTTCCTCCTCCTATCCATCGTTGCACTCGTTGGTCAAGTAGCGCGCATCCTTCCCCTTCTCCCGTTCCCTCATCCTCGTCATCATCATCATCATCATCATCATCATCATCATCATCATCATCATCATCATCATCATCGTCATCGTCATCTGCAACATCATCATCTTCGTGTCCTCCTTCTCTTCCTCCTCCTCCTCCTCCTCCTCCTCCTATCCATCGTTGCACTCGTTGGTCAAGTAGCGCGCATCCTTCCCCTTCTCCCGTTCCCCCATCCTCGTCCTCCTCGTCCTCGTCCTCCTCCTCCTCCTCCCCCCTCCCTCCTCCCTCCTTCCTCCCCCCTCCTCCTTCCTCCCTCCTCCCTCCTTCCTCCCCGCCCTCCTCCCTCAATCATCCACCTCATCCCCCTCTCCCGCCTCCTCCTCCTCCTCATCCCGTCCCCCTCCCTCCCTGCCGCCCTCCCTCCTCCTCCCTCCCTCCCTCCCGAACCACCCCTCCGAAACACCGCCCACCAACCCGAGAAGGATCCCACCCGGGCCGCCTCCGCAGGAGCACGCTTGCCGTGCCGCGCGCCCGACGACGCAAGGCCTCGGGTCGCACCGGCCGGCGTCATGGTTGCACACCTCCTCCGCGGGGGGGGGGGACGAGGATGAGGAAGAGAGAAAAGGAGGGGGAGACGGCGGAGGAGGAAGAGGATGAGGGAAAAAGAGCACGGCCAGTGTAAACCCAAGACGCATAAACGATGTTGCAATAAGATAGACTTCCAAGATCACGTTTGATAGGCCCCGTGAAAGAAGCTACTTTCATTGCGGGAAGCGCAACATTGAAAAACAAGTCTGGGAATCCTCAATCGTGCCCAAACACCATACCTTGAACTTTGACGCCTCGAGTCAACGTGACTGCTGCGTCCTGACAATACGAAATCGCGCCAAAACGCCATTCCTGGGACTTCGACGCCGCGGGCCAACGAGGCTGCTGAATCCCGCCAGTCCTCAATTACGCAAGAGCACCACTCCTGGGACTTCAGCCATCCGAATGCTCAACACTGCTGCAAACGTTTAAAGCGAATGTGCGCGGCGCTGGAGCGAGAGCAATTTCACAAAATAAGAACGCCTGCCATCCCTGGAACTGTTGCGAAACGATTTAAAAGAATGTAAACGGCGCTGTACGAGAACCATAGTCTGAAAACCACCCGCCCTCCATCCGTGAAGCTGCTGCACACATATACTACGAATGTGCGTGCGGCGTTGAAGCGAGAGCAACAGCTTGAAACTGCTGTCAACAGTGAAGACGAATGCGCGCAGCGCTCTTGCGAGAACAATATGTTGAAAACCACCCGCCCTCTACACTTGAAAAAAGGTTGCGACCATTTCCCTACCTAGGCTCTGCCTAGAAGGGTTCTTACCCTGTTGGCTTAAAGGGCCGGACAGTGGACCCCGCCCCGGGCGGTTCCCCCAGGATCCGCCCCGCGGTTCCCCCAGTGACGTTCCCTTAGCTTAGCGTTGCTTATCTAATATTCGCTTAGTTTATTTATTCTTAGCTTAGCTTAGCTTCATCTTAGCTCAGTTTATCTTAGCTTAGTTTACCTTCATCTTAGCTGCGCTGAGCTTTAGCATAGCAGAGCACAGCATAGCATAGCGTAGCATAGCATAGCGCAGCACACATATCATAGCATAACCCAGAATAGCATAGTATAGCGCAGCATAGCATAGCATAGCATAGCATAGCATAGCATAGCGCAGCACAGCACAGCACAGCATAGCACAGCGCAGCATAGCATAGCATAGCAGAGCATAGCATAGCAGCAAAGCAAAGGCAAAGCAACAGCAGCGACAGCAAAGCAAAGCACAAGCAACGCAAAGCAAAGCAAAGCAAAGCAAAAGCAAAGGCAAAGCAAAGGAAAGGCAAAGCAAAAGCAATGTGCGACAGATGCCGAGCTAGGGTGTAATTCCCTACCTAGGCTCTGCCTAGAGGGTTGGCTTAGCTTAGCTTAGCTTAGCATAGCGCAGCGCTGCATTAGCATAGCATAGCATAGCATAACATCGCCAAGCATAGGATAGCATAGCGCAGCATAGCATAGCAGAGCATAGCATCGCATAGCATATCATAGCATAGCATGAAGCAGCATAGCATAGCTTAGCATAGCACAGCGCAGCATGACATAGCATAGCTTAGCATATCACAGCATAGCATAGCATAGCATAGCGCAGCATAGCATGGCATGGCATGGCATAGCATAGCATAGCAACTAATGCTGCTTTCCTAGGGGCTCCAATTTCTAGGTAGGATCGCACTGGGGTAATTAAAATGAATGCACGCGACGTTAAGGCGAGAACCACATGTAAAAAAACTACCAGTCCTCCGCCACTGAAGCGGTTGCGAATCTCAAGATTGGATGTTAAAAACGTCGAGGGCGTCCAAGGCGTCCAAGGCGGCACGCATGGGGGTGCGACAGAGAGGAGTCATGTATAAGGTAGACGGAAGCATGGAGGAAGAGGAGGAAGAGGAGGGAGGGGAGGAGGAGGTGAGGGAGGAGAAGGCGGATAATACAATAGACTACATTACTACACGTACCGCAATGGGACGAGCGACACGCTGGCGATCGCCCACCCTAGCTAAGGCATCGGCCCGTCGGCCCGTCCGCCACTCCCAAGGGCACGCAGCACCCGAAGGGAGGGCGGCCCATTCAGGCACGAGGCGCGCCCCACCCCCGGCCCCCTCCCACGCCCAACCCACCACCCCGACCCCCCTCCCTCTTATGCTGCTGGCAGCTACACTCTAGGAAGACAATCGAGACCGGCAGCAGCTCAGGATCAGAACGCGACTAGGCCCGACTCTCTAATCTCTGCTCTATATCCGCCGAAACTCGGCCTCTCCCACCAAACCATCGAAGCCTATCACTGTTGCGTGGGTGTCTCGTGTCTTGTGTCTGGCCCACTGCAGAAGCTCCCGCTTGATTGGCCCCCGAAGCGCTGAACCGGCTAGAAACCCCGCTCCCTCCAACTCGAGCATCTTCTCCATGATGCGGGCTGCCTCGGCCCCCATGGGGGCATTGAAGTCCGCGCGCATCATCACGATGCATGTGTTGGTCGTCTGGAGACTCTTGCACTTGAAATACGGGGCTGTTCGACTGACCTTGGTAAGGATGATTGCACCCGTCAAGTACTGGCCTCCCCGACCCTTCCCCGCCTGCAACAGCTCCCCGTCATCGTTGGTAGGCCCTGCTGTGGGAATCCGTGAGCCACAGTCCGCCACTGTGCCGCTGGGCACGGAGTGGGCGCCTCCTCGGGTCCTGGGCCCGGTCCCCTAAGCCTCAATCCTCACTCCTGAGGCATCTGTTCGGGGCCCAGACCCCTCGACTGTGTTGGCCACGAACCGCGTCCAGAGCGAATCTGCCCGGAACATTGTCCGGAACATTGTCCGGAACAAACGCGTGGACTCCACGTCCCTGGGCCCCCCCACTTCCGAGGCCTCAAATATCCCGGGGCTTCCCGCGTGCCCCCCTAGGCTTGGCGCGTGCCCCCATGAGGCTTCCCGCGTGCCCCCATGAAGCCCCCCCGCATCTTGTCGCGCTACTTGTTCGTGTCCAAGAAGGCCCCAAGACGGGCCCAGAAAGCCTCGAGCCCCCTAAGACGGTCCGAGAGGGCCCCAAATCGCCGAGAGATCGCCCCAAGACGCGCAAGATGGCCCCCAGACGCCACAAGAGGCCCCAGAGACGCCCCAAGAGGCCTCGAAGAGACCTCCCAATAAGGCCGCAAGAGGCCAAACCCATTGATGTTCTCAAGGTTGCTGGAGGTTGTTCGCATTATCGTCATTTCGGCTCCCCGACGCCCCCAGACGGCCTGAGTCCCCTAAGACCGCCCCAAGACGGCCCAAGAGGCCTTCAAGAGGGCCCAAACGGCCCAAGAACGTCCAAACACGGCCCAAGAGGCGCCCCAAACGGCCCAAGAGGGCCCCAAGACGCCCCAAAAAAGGAACCCAAGAGATGGAACACGAACCGAAAATCCGAACAACAAATAGGCCCCCAGGAGGCCCCGCGAGGCGCCCAGGAGGTCCCAAAAGGCCCTGCCGCAAGAAACGGGGACGGGAGGCGGCGATCGTTTGCGATTTCCCACGTAAGGAAGACCGAGGACGACGCGCCGGCGAACTCACGAGACTCGGTGAGCAGGAACGCACGACGGGCCCCACCACGCGAGAGGAGTCGCTGACATTGCTCCCCTTGCCGCCGCCGCCGCCACCAGCCTTCTGAACCTACGCCGCCCACCCCACCCCCCCTTGCCGCTGTTGCCGGGCCCGCTGCTCCGCCCCTGCCACTGGACGCGGACTTGGCCCGCTTCCTGGTCGAGCTGGACCACGATGGGAACACCAGTTCCACCATCACGCGCAGCACGAATTGCCACGCGGGATATGAAAGGCGGCAGTCGCCACGGCAGATGAACCGAAACCAAATGACAACAGAGACCATACAAGCTAGCCGCCGCGAGAATGTTGTTCCCCAAGGGCCCAGGGCCCAGTAGTCGTGCAACTTCCCCGTCATACAGAAGCCCCAGCTGATGGCGGCACGCATTGACTTGACTAGAGAGAACTTTCCTGCAACGCATACACTCATCAGTAGGCGTAACCGCATGCGCCAGAAGTTCAGATTTCCGAACCGAAAGATAGCAAAACAAGCCTAAACGCACCCACAAGGCCAGGGCAGGGGCCAAAGGCGAGAGGCACGGGAAAGGGGACGGGCTCTGCCATGCTAACCATTACGACGACTGGACTCAGCATCGCTCACATCACGCACATTGGCCGATCGATCTCCTCCTCCTCCCCCTTCGCCTCTTGCTCCCCAAGAGGGTATGACGGCTTTCCTAGCCCATTACGCCATTGCATGCTCCACCACATCCCTGATCAGGGCAAGTCACCTGGCGGGTGGGCTTACGCAAAGCGCCTCGAATTACTCGATCTCCTCAAATGACAAATGTCCCTCCCCTCCACTTGAAGCTCGCATACTTGAACTTATAGTGCTCCCTGCGCTCCTCCCTGTATCCCATCCCCCTCCCCAAGGGCAAGTGGTTCTCCCACCGAACAGCTTGGGGTCGTAGGGATCTGACACTCGATGCCGCCTCTCCGCCCCTACTCGCACCTGCTCGCCCCATCCCCCTCCCAGCCTCCCCAGCCTCCCCTCCGCCTCACCCTCCGCCCCCCCCATCCACCTCACCGTCCGCCTCCAACTCTCCATCGCTCCCCTCCCAATTCCCCTCCACAGTCACTCGATGTGAATACTACTCTCCTGTCTCCCCCGAAGGTGGCCGGGGAGTCGCCCACCCCCTCCGCGCAATGTGTGGTTCACATCGGATTCCGACAGGTTGTTTTCCCTAGAAGTGGTTTGCGATCTGGTCGTTTTCGGTCCATCCAAATGTCGCTGCCGCTGCAACGCGGGCCTCATTTTAGGATCGGCGCCTGGTTCCCGTCGTTCAGAATGGCACACACACACACACACACCCCAGCGCAGTCCTCTCTTCTGCATCCGAGTCTTTCCTCATCGTTGTCGGCCCCCCTTTCCCCTCCTCTGCCTTCCCCTGGTCCTCTTGCCCCTCCCGTTCATTTTACTCCAGCTGCTGCTGCTGCTGCTTCTGCTGCTGATGCTGCTGTTCGTCTTCGTCCTCCTCCTTCATCATCGTTATTTTCCTCCGGTTCATCCTCATGCTCGTCCGCCATCTTATCCTCCTATATACGCAGCTCCCCCTTTCTGATTGCGCATAACACGACGAAGTCCTTTTTTCGGAATCCCAGGTCCACTGTGGCACGCGTCCGCGGATAGAGAAACAAAACAGCGCAATGGGAAGGGATGGAAGGGAGGGGTAGGATGCCAGATATGGCGCGAGCGGGCGAACGCGCCTAGTTTGACCTCCCGCCCCCCCCCCCCCCACACACACACATCTCTTTTACCCTTCACCGCTCCCTTGAACTTGCTGGCCAGAGCCGGCCCCGAGACATATGATGGCAGCCCCCCAGCGCAGGTCGAACGTGCTCTGAAAGAAACGGTTGGCGCCATGGAAAACCTGTCGGGCGACAGCCGAAAAGTCAGCCGCGGAGCCGGCCCTCCCTGAGGGTCCCCGATGGAACACGTGTCGTTGCCACACGCGCAAGGCACCTCGGTGATGATCGTCGCGCTGCTGCACTGCGCCTGGCGGCCGCGTGCGAGGAGCGACGTGGACGTGCAGACAAAGCAAAACAAACCAACCAACAATTGTTCCGACTGTTGGACCCCGCACGAGAATCAATTTAGCTTGCCCCTTGCCTTTTTCTTCCTCGTCTGGCGGAAGCCTCCTTCCGCCCTTTTCCGTCCTCCTCCTCCTCCTCCTCTTCCTTTTCCTCCCTTTCCTTCTCGTCCTACTCGTTGCATGTCTCATCCTCGGCCTCTTCGGCGTCCGACAGCTCCCCCTCTTCCTCCTCCTCCTCGTCCTCCTCGTCCTCCTCGTCCTCCTCCTCCTCCTCCTCCTCCTCCTCCTCCTCCTCCTGGGGTTCCGGCGCGTCCCGCCAGCCACCCCGAAGACCCGGCTGCAAACGGTTATCCTGCCCCAGGGCCCCAATAAATATGGCCCAAGAAAACTCGTAACGTCTGCGGCCGGGATCGCCTCCGTCAGCCGCACAATAACAAAAACTGTGGCAGCGTCTATTGGCTGGTCTAACTGAAACGGCCTACTGTGCCCAGAAAAGGATGTCAATGTGGCAGGAGCTGTGGAGGAATCCACATGGAGGGCTCGGTGGTTTTCGCGAGTCCACTCTGGAAGAGCATGGCCATGATCGCGACAATGGCCAGTCGCCCGTTGGCGAGCTCGGCGTTCAGTTTCCTTCTCCTCTCTACGGGATCGTCCGACGTGAGGACCTTCCAGCCGTAGTCCCCGGGGGCGCCACCAGGCTGGTAATCGCTGAACCCGCCAGTATACTCAACAAGCCCGAAGTATACGAGAATCTGGGCCCAGGCGAGGGCAGGGACCCGACGTCCTCCTCCTCTTCCTCCTCCTCCTCCTCCTCCTCCTCCTCCTCCTCCTCCTCCTCCTCCTCCTCTTCCTCCTCCTCCGCCCCCCCCACTTCCCCCCTCTCCTCCTCGTGTTCTTTGCTCATCGTCTTCCTCGGCCTTTGCCTTGCCCTCCTCCACCTCCCTCCTTCACCCGCGCCCATCGCCGCCCCGCTCGTTTTCCCCCTGCGCCTCTCCTTCCTCCCGGCAGGGGCGCGCGCGGAAATTTTCCTCGGCGCCCTCGCCGCCGCGCCTGGCAAGGGCGCGTTCTCCGACGGCGAAATCGCGCAGTCGTCGGGGACGGCCCCGCGGGCCAGGCCGTCGGGGCAACCCCGCGAGCCGCTGGCGCGCGAGGCCAAGCAGCTGGGGCAACCTCGCGGGCCCCGAGCGGGGCGCCGCCGCGCTCGGGCGGGGGGCGGCGCGAAGCCCAGCTCTGCCGCGAGCTGCTCCGCCTCTGCCCTGGGGCCGCCCGCCCTGACGTCGAACTCCAGGAGCGCCTCCCGCAAGGATGCCGGCGGCCCTCCGCTCCAGACACTCTCGCGGCGGCGGCCGCGGGATCAGCCTGCCCCGCGCGCGCGGCGCGGGAGAACGCGACGTAGAAGTGCAGCCGCCGCCGCTCGTCCGACATGCCCGCGCGACCGTCGACGGCGACGCCCTTGCGCAGCGTCTGGTCCTGCGACAGCGTGGGCGCGAGGCGCGACGCGCGCGCCGCGGTGAACCCCGAGCGGCGCGCGGCGCGCGGCCCCGAGCTCTGCCGCGTGAGCTTCTGCTCGATGGGCCTGAACGCGAGCGAGCTCCTCGCCCGCGCCTCGGCCTCGCCCTCGTCGTCGACGCCCTCGGCGCCCCGTGGCGGCACCTCGGCGACCTCCCGGTAGATCGGAGACTCCTGGAAGCCGCGCGCTCGCAGCCAGATTCCCTGCGGTAGGTAGCGGGGGCGGAAAAGCTGGCCCGGCGAGCGCTCCTCGCACCGCTGTTCGTCCTCGGGGTGCGACTCGAAGGATGCGACGGTGGCCCGTTGCTCCTGCGCGAACCCAACTTCTTCTTCAGCTCTTCCTGCACCGCCGTGAGTCGCACCTCCATGCCGACGCGGGCCGGTAAGACGCCGTGGATGTCCCCCGTCTTGCGCGCGCTCGGGACGCCGAGAAGGCGCCGGCCCGCGTCGGGATCGCCCTGAATCGCATTGCACTCGCCCACGGCCTGCGACAAGACGAGGGGCGCGCCCAGACGCCGCGCCTCGCGACGAGCGCGCGCGTTGATCCACCTCGCCAGCGTCTCCCAATAGATGCCCATGCCGCAGCCGAACCGGAAGTTCTCGTGCTGGCGCCGGGGGCCCAGGACGCCTCGGCTCTCCGAGGCCAACGTCGTCTCCCAGGCGGGCCAGAACTCTGGCGGGAAGGGTTTGCCCTCGCGCGTGCAGCCAAAGAACGTGATAACAGGGTTCCAAAGTTCGAAGCGCCTCGTGCCTTTTCAGCTCGACGACGCAGGGGATCTGGGAGAAGACATTGATGGCGCGCTGGATCTCCACCGTCGGCGGCTCCGCGTACTTGTAGGACCCGTCGTCCAGGAGCTCGCTCACGTCCGTCAGGAGGCCGATGTTGCCCGTGGGCTTCAGCTGCAAGAAATCGCCGAGGTGCAACGCGATGGGGGCGCGCCCGAAGTGGCGGCACGGCCGCGGCATGCGCGAAGGTCCAGCGCGATGTACCGCGCGGCCGCTACCCGCCCGATACTTCCTCCACATCCAAGCCTCAGGGACCCAACAGTGACGACAATTACATGATCCGATGACCCGCTCGGCTAATAGAAAAAATGAACGGCGGGCCCCAAAGGGAGAGGACTCCCGCCTGAGACTTCCTCGCAATTCACTCGCACACGAGGCCCCCGCCCGATACGTCCTCCATATTCAGGCCTCAGGGGCCCGAAAGTGACGACACTTACAAAATTCCGATGACCCGCTCGGATAAGAAAATATGAGCGGCGGGCCCCACAGGGATGGGGTTCCCGCCTGAGACTTCCTTGCATGTCATCCACAGACGAGGCCCCCGCCTGGCACTTTCTCCATAGTCAAGCCTCAAAGGCAAAACGCATGGCGACACTTGCAGGACTCCGATGACCCGCTTGGATTAAAAATAAGAGCGGCGGGCTCCGTAGGGTGAAGGCCCCCGCCTGAGATTTCCTCGCAATTCACTCACAGACGAGGCCCCCGCCTGATACTTCGTCCACATTCAAGCCTCAGGGGCCGAAAGGTAATTACTCCGACGGTGGGACCTCGCATTAACATATATTTAGCTTGCCTGGGGATATCCTCCTGTCCCCTCCCTTCCCCCACCTTTTTCTGCCTCATCTTTCTCCTCCTGCCTGCTCCCCCTCCTGCCTCAAACCATGCCTCCTCCTCCTCCTCCTCCTCCTCCTCCTCCTCCTCCTCCTCCTCCTCCTCCCCCTCCTCCTCCTCCTCCTCCTCCTCCTCCTCCTCCTCCTCCTCCTCCTCCTCCTCCTCCTCCTCCTGCTCCTCCTCTTGCCAACTCCACCACCTCCTCCTCCTGTTCCTCTTCCTCGTTATGCTCCTCCTCCCATTCCCCCCGTTCCTCCTGCCTCCTGCGTCATCCTCCTCCTGCTTTCCCTCTCGTTCCTCTCCTCCTCCTCCTCCTCCTCCTCCTCCTCCACCTCCTCCTCCTCCTCCTCCTCCTCCTCCTCCTCCTCCTCCTCCTCCTCCTCCTCCTGATCCTCCTCCTCCTCCTCCTCCTCCTCCTCCTCCTCCTCCTCCTCCTCCCCTCTCCCGCCTCCTCCTCTCCCTCGCCCTCCTCCGCCTACTCCTGCTCGTCTCCATATTCATCCCCCTCCTCCTCTCCGTCCTCCCCCTCCTGCCCCCCCCCCCTTAGGCCCCCATGCCTCCTCCTGGGGCCTCTCTGGCTCAAGCAACTTGGGCTCGAGCATTGTGCCTGAGCTCAGCCTCTGGGCTTCCTCGCAGCGCTTGAGGGACTTTGTTTCTTTGCCAAAACCAGAGGCGAACAGACGCTGACGAACGCAGAGACATCATGGCAGGAGCAAGAATACTACAGAAGCGGTGGAGCAGGTGCAGCTAGCGCCGGACGCGCGCGTGGAACGCAAGTCTACTCCGCCGCCAATTGGCAAGCAATATGCGCGGCAACGCTGTTGAGCTGCACCGCGGCAGGAAGCGTGGAGCACGCTTCTCGTCGGCCGAGAGCGGCGATGAGCACTTCTACGACGCGACGAGCGACAGCGAGGGCGAGAACGCAGAGCTCCGCAAGCCTGTCCCCCCTGGCATCCTCAAGAAGGGAACCGCTGGCGGAGGCAAGGGGAGCAAGGGCGCGTCTGTCCGCGGGCTGTTGCAGTAGGCGCTGGAGGCGGCCAAGGTCAACGACGAGCTGAAGCGGGACCTCCAGCACCAGCTCGCGAAGTTGGAGAAAGAGAAGCAGGGCTGTAAGGGCCAGCAGCTGACCCCGTCGGAGGCCCACCGCCGAGCCGACGGGGCATGGCGCAATGCGGAGCACGTACATGAGCAGGCGGTCGCCAATGTCGTCCGCCTCCGCAGCAACGCGGCAGCTGCGGAGGCGAAGAAGAGGCGGCGGCGCGTTCCCTGGCCGAGGCGGCGGAGGCCAAGGAGGCCGCGGCCACCGCCCTCGCGAAGGCAGGGGGCGCGCAGGACTGCGGGGTGAGCACGTCAGGGGAGCGCGATAAGAAGATGATTATCGTGGAGTGGGACGAGGGCTTCTTCTCCAATCTCGACGAGCTCGGGGCCACGGAGGGGGGGAAGAAGGCACTGGCGGAGTTGGAGGGCCAGATGCAGCAGGTGAAGTCCCACCTTGAAGGGGGAAGAGGCCGACATCCAGGCCTGGCTCGCCAAGATGGCCGAGCACAAGCAGATCATCTCGGAGCGGCTGGCCAAGAAGCGGAAGTCCAACGAGGGCAACGAGCAGCCTCAGGCCACGGAGGCCCCAGGCGAGGCAGCTGGTCCTGCCGCTGGCAGTGGACCGCAGCCCACCGCAGCTGCTCCTAGGCCTGCGCCCCCTGGGAGCAGCGGCGCGCCTGGGACCAGGGCCGAGGCCGATGGGGCTCGTGAGGAGGCCCACAAGGCCGAGGCGCATCGGCTGTCGGAGGCGAAGTTCAAGGCTGCGGAGCTGAGGACCAAGGCGGCTGGCAAGGGGTCT